GTTTCGGAGTTTTAAATAAGTTTTAAATTGTCCGTGAATATGTTTGACACAGTAAAATAATAAAGGAATTCTACCTTTCAAGTTAAATACAACATTTTGTGTTTCTTTCGTTTTCTGGGAACGATTTTTTCAATATTTTGTCGATTTTGAAATCAAATTTGCCGAATCATTTTTTTTGAAAAGCATTATTTACTACCCAGGTGGTAAATAATGCCTCTGATTTACTAGTCAGCTAGCCAATCAGAACACGCGAAAACTCATTTGATATGCAAAATTTATACTAAAGTATATTACTCACTTTACTGATTCGCAAAAAAAAACATCCCATGCAAACAAATTAAAAATGCAAGACGTCACACTGTTGTTTAAATTATTTGGGAGAAGTTCCAATTGTAGAGGAATTGGGAAGGTTCCAATTGCTATGGGTAGGTGGTGCGGTATTCACTCCCAGAGCATTTTCGTAGATATTTAGCCTCTGCGGCTTAATTTTCTGCATTCGCAAACACTATCTTTTATATCAACATACACAGACTAACAGAATTTTCAGTATAAAAACAAGGTTTGATTAATATTATTAAGAGAATATAAATTAAAACACTCATCTGGTAAAGGTTCATTTTGTGTAATTATAAAGTGAAAAAAAGTGTTTTTTCACTTTATAATTACACAAAATGAACCTTTACCAGAAGGACCAATTTAGTTCACTGGGGCCCCTCTAAAGTATACTATCTGCGTTTATGACACTTAGTTATTTAATTTTAAATTTATATCTTAAGGCTTGGCTTTGCAATTTTAAATTTTACACGCCCCTCTTGGATACCAAATTACACTGAAGGGGTTAACGTGTTTATCTAAAGTTGCCCTCGCGTTACCTTATAGTTAAGAAAGAGAAAATATTTTCGTGAGTGCCATTTTTTGGACGAATTAAAAAAAATTGAACATTTTTCAAAGTTGAAACTACTGCAATTGAATAAACTTACCCGTGCTGTATACGTCTTGTCCGGTTGAGATTGACCATTGTTCGCATAGCAAGAGACTTCGACAAAATCATCGTCAGGGCGCCAAGGTACGGAAAAATAAGAAAACTTGAAAGCTTGCGCGTGATTTACGAGATCGTCTGTTTTCAACACGTCATTAGAAAAGAAACCTTCAGCTAGACTGTGCATACCACCCACCAAGCAATGCATATCAGCCGACCACCAGTGTCCTAGTTGATCACGAAGATACTGCACAAATGAATTATCAAGGAATGGAGTATAGGTAAATACAGCATAACCTCGCACTGCATCGTTGGACCAGGGCAACAGCTTAGCAAGGGTGTCAACATCTAAATCTAGTCGACTTTCTACAGGAACCTTTGCATAAATTACATCAATATTGCTTCGGAGGAAGCTTTCCAATGTAAACTGACTCCAGATGTTAATCCACTTTTCCCACACCTTGATTTCCTGATCAATATCTGTTGCATTGCTCAACCACGTTTTCAATTGGTCAGTGACAATTTTGGTTGTGGCGTCGTAATATTTGCCTAAATATGGTTTACATAGGTTTCATTATAAATAATAATAATTCCAGACAGGTCCTGCTCTAGTTATAAATTAATTTCTTGTAGACTGTCGTTGTTAGTTATTGCTAATCCTATTGCTCATCTATTTAGGGGTTTGTTCCCTTCCCCCATCACGAATTTTCTAATCTGTCTTTATTTGTGCTTAATTAGTTTGTATCATGTACAAAGTGACAAATTCGTTATATTATTATTATTATCCCTAATAGTGTTCTTGACCTCGCAAACAGCGTGCATGACATTATACAAATAATAAATGTTTTTGAGTGCAATGGTAAGAATATAATTTTCATGAGGTGAAAGATGGAATGTTCCATTCACCTCGGCTGTCGCCTTGTTGAATGGAACATTCCATCTTTCACCGAATGAAAATATTCTTACCATTGCACGAATAAAAACTTTCATTATTTGTTTTATATCATACCAAAATAGATTAATATTGCTTTTTCAAGAACAGTTTATTAAAACACCATTTAATATTATAACAAGACGCCTACTCAGGCGTTCACTCCGGGTACAGGGCCTTAACTAAGCGCAAAGCTACTTTAACGTATGCTTATATACCAATGAAGGTATCTTTAATGCATGATATTTAGCATATTAAAGTTGGAAAAGTGGGAGAACTACAGTGTAACCACTTGACCAAGTGACTAAAAACATATGCAATGATCATAATATTTTATAACATAAAAATAAAAGGACATTGTGACACTGATTATCTCTAATAAAAGCTATCTAGTTCCTTATTAAAAGTTATATTTAAAACATGCGTAGGAGTGTTTTATCGAGTCGTATATAATAAGTCGGAGGCCGTATTTTACAAATATTTCATGTTTTTTTTATTGTCTAGGCCGAGGGTAGAAATTCGAGGATGAAATGCTTGAGGGTACATTTTAATAATTTAACAAAATAATAATTTTAGCTCGTGTTCATTCACTTTACTTTTAATTTTTAGCTCTTATTTTTATATGCAATTTTTAATTTTTTATATGTGATTATTTTTTATATGATAAAATATTACTACGTAAAAATAGACATGCCGATCAAAAGCTACATGGTGCATTATCTGTGTTATCTCGGATTGCATGTCGCAAATTATTGTATTGTCTATTCACTATATGGTCTATTGAATCAGAGTAATCAGGACTTGTTTACACCTTGCCATTGCCATACGTCTTTTCCGGGTTCGCGATGCCATATTGAAAGCATTGTTTTTCGCTATTGTGCTTGCCCCACTTGCAAATTTATCTATAGGGAATGCCCGCAAATTTCTACCCTCGACAATAAAAACCATAAAATATTTTAGAAAAATGACCCTCGAGTTTTTTATATGACCCTCGACTTTTTATATATGATTTTTCGACCCTCGCTTCCCACCCTCGACCCTCGAGAAGAACTCCTGAAACTGAATTACTAAAAATAGCTAACGCAAACAAACCACATTTATCAAACACGCAAAGAAAATTATTTAAAAAGTAATATATTGTTAGTCGTGTCATATAGTTAATTGTCAACACTTTTTCAATGCATGGTAGTAAGTTCATAACTGGCACCATAACTCATAATTTGTTATGTTGATATTTTGTTTATACAGATTGATTGTTTTAATTTGTACGGCTTCTGTAAGTTTGTTATTATCAAACGTTTAGATTGTTTTAAGCATCTTTAGTAATGATTTTACTTTAAGACCAAGACAATGCAGCTGTCGAGACCGATTTTTAATACTCTATAAATAAAACATTAAACTGTGTAATAGACGTAATAGTGTTGGGTAAAGCTATCTAGTTACATATATATTTTATATGCGCTTTCTGTCTAATACAAGCGTGGTAGAAAATATATATTGCCAATATTGTTGTGGTTTGCGATATAAATTGCCTCGCGAATCGAAGACTTTCAGATATGTCATGTCGAATAGATTTGTGCATTGTTTAAATTTGTACTTCAACTTTGGCCACGAGGCACAAAGGGAGACTTAAAGAACACGAGTGACGAGTGTTAACACAATTTTACTACGTACAGTGTTGAAAAAATTAAAAAATGCAGGCTAAAGTCAGTAACGAACCAAGCCATTTGTCGATCAGAACTAGCTTTGCAATAACGGCAACCGCTACTAAACACACGAGAAAGTCTCGAATTTCGATTTTTATTTATATGAACTGTGGTCACTGTAAAACGAGTGTATGAGAACCCCTCCATTTGATAATATTTACTGTAAATAGAACTAAATACATTGTAAACACAACGCTCGCTCCGACCTCACTACGAATGGCGGCTATTTTTAGATATTTCGTATTTTTGTAGTGCGTTGCGTGCGTTCCGTACGGTTCACCTGTGAAAGTGCACACTTGTGTCGCCTAAGAAAAAAGATCTGACATTTTAATACTCCGGTACTTACAGTACCCGGAGTAATAAATACACACAAATATAACAGAAACTGGATGTTTCAAATCATTCAAACATGTCATTGATAAGTACAGTGTAATTCTCTGCCTCTGCCTCTGCCTCTGCCTCTGCCTCTGCCTCTGCCTCTGCCTCT